GCATGAATTATGAAATCTTCGACCATGATTTTTTTTAACAATTTTTTTGATTCATCGTTAGGTGGGAATGAAACAAATTTCAACAAATATTTTTTGTAAAATTTTATAATTTACAAATAATTTATTACACGTCCACCTCAGTGGACAGCGTGCAATCTGAACATGAAATATGTTGGCTTGGCTTACCGAAGTCCAAATGGAGGGGCTCAAATGCAATAAAGTCTTCAACAGCTGTGCTTAATAGCAAAAATAAATAAATAACAATTTTGAGTACCTGTCCACTGTAGTGACTATTATGCATCAAAGGGATAAATATTTAGTTAGCAAACTAAATATTCAATTTGTAGTTAGTTTATAGTTCTTCTTCCAGCACTCACAGGGAGCAGTCGCTTCTGCCTTTCCTCCCTTATCTGTATTTTCCCAAGGCTCTTTTTGTCCCGTCTGCCCACAGAGCGCTTCTCTGCATTTCCTCTGCAATCACTATTTTTCAGCATGGATTTAATTAATTGGTCATTCAACGTGATTGATAAGATTTTTTCTACAATGAGAACGGAGGAGGGGGCTCGCGCTTGTCCTCACGGGACACATGCAGCGGGATATATGCTCGATTCCTAGAAGAAGTGGAATGTCACCTGTCTCTCTCAGCTGTCCATTGAGGACGTCGAAGAAATGTGGATATTTGGCCTGATGATCGTCGGGTTTCTTCTGATTGGAGTGGGAGGATATCTGGCTTTCCGTAAAATTGGGATGACGGGAGCGATTGGAGGGCGACCCTCAACCATGGACGGCACCGTCTGTGTGGATACCTCACAGACTGGGACGTTGCTTGAGGTGAATCGCAAGCTGGACAATGTCTTAGCTGCGTTACCGGTGTTAGCGCGCAGGATTGATAACATCTCGGAAAGGGTCACCGGACGGTGTGGAGATGTTTAATCACTGAATTGGCTTCACTGGAGGACTTGAATGATCAATACAGACTTTAAGGCAGAGAGGAAAAATTATCTCTGCCTGACCCAAACAAAGTTCTGTTATCCAATCTGACGCCATAAGCAGCCTTGGAGTTGCGTGCGAAAACCCCCACGATGGAAGGAATGCAGACAAATGCTGTGAAACTCTATCCTCCCACCCCCCGCCTTCAGATTGTGGTCTCTACCGAGGTCATTAAGCTAAAGGACTCACTGCTCTCTGTGCTTCCCCATGATCTCCCGCCCACCTGCGGAGCCAGCTGGTTGAGCGCCACAGGCAGCCCCGCTGAGGAAACCAGGATCCCAGCCCCCCCCCCCACACACACACACACCTACCGGGTCTCATGTTGTGAACTGTGACGTTTGTGCTTACATGTCGGGTGTTTTTTGCATTAGAGTGCTACACCCTGCTGGTGTAACCCTGTTAATGCCTTTTTTCTCCCTCCCCTGAACTTTCCTCATGTATTTCCTCATTCATCTACAAAGGAGCGCCGTCATGGCTGCTCCCATGGTCTGCCTGTATCTGTCCTGTCTATATGTGTGTGTGTAACCTTGGTCAGGTTGTACTATGGAGTCAAGTTCCTATGCTCTGATCTGATCTGAGCGCTGGCAATAAAATTCATTCTGATTCTGATTCTGAAATATTTATTTTGCAAGCTAAATATTTAGGTCTGATCTAAATATTTAGTTTGTAAAATAAATATTTAATTCACTAACTAAATATTTTATTTACTAATTAAAAATTTATTTTTGAACTAAATATTTAATTTGTAAATTAAATATTTATTTTCCAAAATAAATATTTAGATCCCAGCTAAATATTTATTTTGGAGCTAAACATTTAGTTTGCAAAATCAGTATTTGGGAAATAAATATTTAAGTCTGAATCAAAAAATACAAAATATAGTGTGGAGCTAAATAACGTCGTGGAAAATAAATATTTAGCTGGTACTTAAACATTTAGCTAATATGCAAATTTGCTTGCCAATAAGCGGAAGTTGGTTACCAAAAAAAAAAAAAAAGCTGGATCTCGCTAACTTCTTTATAAACTCTTGCTCCGAACCAGAACTTGTTTTATCTCCGGTTCTATTCTTCTGAACATGTCCGACGTATTGGTGTTGTTGACACATCTCTGCAACATTGCGTGGTCATCGGGGGCAGTTCCTGTGGAGGGGCAGACCGGGGTGGTGGTCCCCATCTTTAAGAAGGGTGACCTGAGGGTGTGTTCCAACTATAGGGGGATCACACTCCTCAGCCTCCCTGGAAAGGTCTACTCCAAGGTACTGGAGAGGAGGGTCTGATCGACAGTTGAATCTCAGACTGAGGATGAGCAATGTGGTTTTCGTCCTGGCCGTGGAACTGTGGACCAGCTCTATACCCTTGCAAGGGTGATGGAGGGGGCATGGGAGTTTGCCCAACCAATCCACATGTGTTTTGTGGATTTGGAGAAGGCTTATGACCGTGTCCCCAGGGGCACCCTGTGGGGGACGCTCCAGGAGTATGGGGTGGGTGGCTTTCTGTTAAGGGCCGTTCAGTCCCTTTACCAGAGGAGCGTGAGTTTGGTCCGTGTCAAGCTCCACACTAGTTTCACTCTAAAGGGACACTTTGGGACAACTCCTTCACATTCCGACAATTTTTATTATGTCAGTTCAGTGAACATTAGGTTGATAACCTTCAAAGAACAGAGATAAGTGTTAGATGTCACATAATGTATATAAAATACAATAAACAAAGAACTTCTAAACTAAATCTTCCCACACTAAACGATTAAATTAAAGCATGACTTCAAAGGTCACCCAAAACAACTTCATATCATAAACAAACAATAGTTACCAACCATTGGTGTCTTTAGAGTCAACTCATTGTTAGAGCTTGCTGTGCTGTTCCTGTTTGACTGAGGACTGAGGGCCACCACCCTAGGTGTTTTTTATCATCAATCAGTCGCCATTTTGTTGGTGCATTCTGGGAGATGGAGTTCTCAGTGGTGGTGGACCAGTTAGACCTCCATTTACTCAACTTTAACCCAACAGTCCGCATAGCCGGTAGTAAGTCGGACCTGTTCCCGGTGAGGGTTGGACTCCGCCAGGGCTGCCCTTTGTCACCGGTTCTGTTCATTACCTTTATGGACAGAATTTCTAGGCGCAGCCGTGGTGTGGAGTGTGTCGAGTTTGGTGAGAGGAGAATCTCGTCTCTGCTTTTTGCGGATGATGTGGTCCTCCTAGCTTCATCCAGCTCTGACCTTCAGCTCTTGCTGGGTAGGTTCGCGGCCGAGTGTGAAGCGGCTGGGATGAGGATCAGGACCTCCAAATCTGAGACCGTGGTTCTCGACCGGAAAAGGGTGGCTTGCCAACTCCGGGTCGTGGGAGAGGTCCTACCTCAAGTGGAGGAGTTTAAGTATCTCGGGGTCTTGTTCACGAGTGAGGGTAGGAGGGATCAGGAGATCGACAGGCGGATCGGTTCAGCATCTGCAGTGATGCGGACGCTGAGCCGATCTGTCGTGGTGAAGAGGGAGCTGAGCCAGAAAGCCAGGCTCTCAATTTACCGGTCGATCTATGCCCCAATCCTCACCCATGGTCATTCAATTCAATTCAATTCAAGTTTATTTATATAGCGCCAAATCACGACAAGAGTCGTCTCAAGGCACTTCACATAATAAAAATTCCAATTCAGGTCAGTTCATTAAGCCAATCAGAAATAATGTTTCCTATATAAGGAACCCAGCAAATTGCATCAAGTCACTGACAAGTGTCAGTGAATATACAGCAATCCTCATACTAAGCAAGCATGCAGCGACAGTGGAGAGGAACACTCCCTTTTAACAGGAAGAAACCTCCAGAGAATCCTGGCTCAGTATAAGCAGCCATCCTCCACTACTCACTGGGGATCGAGAAGACAGAGCAGACACACACACACACGCACACGCACACACACACACACACACACACACACACACACACACACACACACACACACACACACACACACACACACACACACACACACACACACACACCTATAGGATTAGAAAAACTAAGAATAAGATGTTCAAACGAACTGTAACTATTAATCTGTAAGGGACTGATTAATAAGTCCGAATGGAAAATGGTTGCCACTCCTCCTCCTCGCCCTGTACTTCGAGCAATATGATGATTTAAATAATTTGAAGGAGTCGACTCGTTTAAGCTAACATAGTCCTCTTGCTGCAGCCAGGAGAGAGAGCAAAGAGATCTGTTTATCACAAATCAACTCATTAACTAACAAAGTCTTAGAAAAAATGGATCTAATGTTCAACAACCCACATTTAATTTTTCTAGTTTTCTGCTCAGTTGAATTTGTTCTAATATTTATGAGATTTCCATGATTTGCTTTATTAAGCCTGATATTTGTCATGAGCTTTGGGTAATGACCGAAAGAACGAGATCGCGGATACAAGCGGCCAAAATGAGTTTCCTCTGTAGGGTGGCCGGGCTCAGCCTTAGAGATAGGGTGAGGAGCTCGGACATTCGGGAGGGACTCGGAGTAGAGCCGCTGCTCCTCTGGATCGAAAGGAGCCAGTTGAGGTGGTTTGGGCATCTGGTCAGGATGCCTCCTGGACACCTCCCCGGGGAGGTGTTTTGGGCATGTCCTGCCAGCAGGAGGCCCCCGGGTCGACCCAGGACACGTTGGAGAGGTTACATCTCCAATCTGGTCCGGGAACGCCTTGGGGTCCTGCCGGAGGAGCTGGTGGAGAAGGCCGGGGAGAGGACAGTCTGGAGCTCCCTAGTTGGGATGCACATTGGTAAGAAAAAATGACAAACACTGCCTTTAAGTATTTCTTATTTCTTAGTGTGTGATAAAATAATAATAAGTCAGTTCCAATCGGTTTAGATACAACAGCATTTCAATAAGATACAGAATTTAACTATTTTGATATTTTAGTTATCTCGGTAACAAAAACATTCATATCAGCACATTTTCAGCTTATCATCATGCTTTGGTTCCATATCTTATTAATCAAGTTGATTTGTCACAAAACCCATTAAGCACATCATAATTCTTATCATCCCAAATTAATAAAAACTTCTTTTTCTTCATTGTTGGCAAGTTAATGCGTTATTTCCGGTCTCCAAATCACTTCAATCATAAGTTTTTGGGTGCAATAAAACAGCTGGAACGAAAATGAGAAAGATGGTCCAGTAAATTTCCAGAAAATCCTGCCCCCTCCTCTTTCTCCTCCTCCTCTACCACCTCCCCTCATCCCTCCATCATATTGGTGTACCGACCGCTGTTCCGTACTCACCCCTCCCTCACCGACATGCGAGTCGACCTGCAGGTGAGCAGCTCAGCTCCCCGTTTGTCAGCCACCCAGCCGGGGCGGATGAGCGACTCCGGTTCTCTCCAAACGGATTTTAGGATTCATGGACGCTGGTGCGTCCGAGGAGCGCGTCTAGATCCGAAGGGAGAAGCGGTGATGATAGCAGCAACAGTGTGGACGTGAAGGTGAGCAGCGGTTATGTTGGCGTGGTTCTCCTCCAAAGTCTCTCACACGTATATTTTATGATCATTTAATTCAGAAGGTGGAGGCAGGGAAGGACCAGGCAAAGGAAGGAGATATGCTGAATTATTAATCCAGTCAACAACATAAAACTATTATTACCCTGACTGGAATATTCCGCCGAAATGCGACTAAAAGCCCTGTTTAAGCAAAAAGTTTACTTATAATGCACTAGAACAATGCACAAATCTAAAAGTCTACTCGGTAAAATAGAAAAGAATATCTTGTTTCTTCATTTCAATTTCACAGTTGTAGAATAATTTAAAATTTTCTGCAATATTAATATATTTGGGATGATTGCTTCATTTTTTTGTCAAATAAAAACAAATAACCTGCAATCACTCATCTTCTAAATATTATTTATCATTTTGCGTGTGAGAGTTATGAAATAATTGGCTGATTATTTGAGTCAACTACACAATTTCACTTGAATATATATTAAGATTATGAAGACACAAAATGAGTAGAACAGATATTGTTATGATAATATTGCCCATATACACAAGTATTTATTGATCACCACTTACTTTTATATCATGAGTTTGTAGATACTTTAATAAATCTATTTGTTTCTGCACATCCATTATTTGTTTTCATACTTTTTAAAATTATTATTATGAAGAAAATTTCTCAACAGTTGATTATAGACAAATCTAAAGTTGTTTCACTTGAATTTACCACAAACATTATACGTTTGCATTTTTTACATATTTGCCAGGCAGAAACCTTGCATCTGAAAATATCTAAATTTTCAGGAAATGAAAAAAATTAAAATTATTGTAAAATAAAGAAACTGTGTGGTCACTTTTTGGAAACCTCATTTATATAAAGGCACAAAACTGCATAACTAATCGAGCTGATATAGGCAAATACTATTGATTATGATTAAATGATTATGCTATTGATTAAATTGTTAAATCAAATGATTAAAGTTGAGATACAAAGTTTTATTATGCTTTCTTCGAGTTGTATTAGTTAAATCAAGGTGGAGCTGGATGATTCAGTAGCAAATAAATATCTCAAAACTAAACAATCCAGGGTTAAACATGCTGTGTAATAAATAGTGAGTGCATTATGGATGTATGGGTAGAAAACAAACACACGTGGATCACGTTACTTTTGTTCCAACAGTTGTGCTGATGAAGCAAGCGGCCATCAGCGCTGTATTAATGTGGATTAAAGTGTATTTTTGGAACCATGTGCCATAGCTCCTGGATTTAGCCAATGTTTATCTGCATGCCTTTCATGTGATTCCAAATATTCTGGTTTTGTTACAAAGAAAACTGTGATTTTTACTAGAAAAAGGGAGAAGAGACCTAATTTTGTTGCCCATCCTGTCTGCTTTCTCTTCTCAGCCTGTAAAGCGTTTGCAATAAAACACACCTGTACACCTGACATGTGTGCACCCAGTGAGACGGTAACCTGAGATCCCATCCCAAGGGGAAACCAGGATGCATGTCATTGCGTCACAGCCTTTTGGCAGAAATATCGTTGGTGGCAGCTGTTGCGACCCTGCCGCCGCAGCCATGGTGCTCCTCCTTTGTCTTGGCTTCCTTCCCACTGTGGCCACTTGCCCACCCCACTGCCTTTGTGCAAGTGATATCATTTCCTGCAGCGGCCGCAATCTGTCCACGATGCCCTTTGGTCTTCCGAGCTACGCCACAAGGTTGGACCTGAGCCACAACTCTATTGGAGCCCTGCGTGTGGATTGGGTCTCACAACCATTTCACCGGCTAACGACACTAATTCTCAACAGGAACTCAATAAGTCAAATTGAGGTGGCTTCCTTCACTGTGACACCACATCTCCTCCACCTGGACCTCTCATCCAACCAACTGACAGTGCTGAATTCGTCCATCTTCACTGGGTTGAAGGAACTCAAAGAGCTGCTGCTGATTGGAAACCAAATCTTCCACATAAAGCCAGGGGCCTTTAGTGATGTTGACAGCCTGGAGAGGCTTTACCTCTCTGCTAACAGACTAATTGCCTTCCCCCTGGAGCTTTATGAGGAACCCAAAGGGCCTCGTAACCTGACCTTCTTAGACCTGTCGTACAATAGGCTCTCCAAAGTGCCTATTCAGAGTCTGCTGTCTCTCACCCACCGTGCAAGTGTTTATTTGCAGGAAAACCCTTTGCTCTGTGACTGTTCTTTGGTTGCCCTGCTGGAATACTGGACGTGGAAACAATACAGTCCGCTGGTGGACTTCAGAGGTGAATACCCATGTATAGATGGTGCAGTTAGAGACATTAATTGCACACATCACGGAGTGATGTACATACCCCTACAAGCACAGACTTATCGAGTTGAACCTGGTGAAACGCTCACAGTGCAATGCCCAGGATTGCCTCTGCCTGTTCAGGAGGGGTTGGTGGTTTTCTGGGTGACCCCCAGAACGACTCTGAATTCATCAGCTGGTGATCCGAGTGCCCGTCGGTCAGTTCTCCCCAATGGCACCCTTGAAATCCAAGGAGCACTACTAGAGGACTCTGGTACATATGGGTGTGTGGTGGCCCGTGGGCGCTACTATCATCCCAGTGAATCTCCAGAGGTCAGAGTGCTGGTCGGAAACTCAAGTATTCCATCCAACTTTGGGTTGGCTCGTCGGAGCAGCGCAGAACACTTCAACACTGCATTTACCACCCTGGCTTCGTGTGTGGTGAGCATCATACTGGTTCTGCTTTACCTCTACCTTACTCCTTGTCGGTGTCGGGAAACTAGGGGGAAAGGTTCAAGAGGGTGTGGCGGACGAGCCATTATTCTTTGTTCAGACCCCCAAGAGGTAGAGTCAGGACAGAGGCGGTCAAATGGAAAGAGGGTGGCCTTCTTAGAGCCTCAGGCGGAGGACTCTGAAATTGGTGTCCCAAAAAAACCAGCAATGAACCTGGATCATGTTTCTACTGAGGGAATTCTCAAGAATGGAAGTAGGACAGTGGAACGGACCAACACATATCAAAATCACGTGGCGTAGCACCTTCAGCACAGTCCTTCATTCATGCAGTCTTAATACACATTCTTGTCCTGTTGCTGTCTAGGGAAACAAATCCATTTGATGTAAAGTTATGCACTTTCTGTCTTGTGAAGTAGTTATTCACCCTGGGTTTGGGGAGTTGGTCTGAAAATCATACACAGTCCTTTTTGTGAGCAGAATTTAAATCATGTCTAAGTGGTGTCTGTTTTTATATTTAGAGTTCATATGGAAATTTCACTGTTACCTCAGAGAATTGTTACCAGAAGGATCACAGAGATCATACAGACGTGGGTGAGCTTTTTAAATTGGACCGAGAGGGATGTTCACACCTGATTTGATGAGCTGTTAGAGACATTTGTGGTTATTCTACAGGATTCTTCATGTACTTTGGATAATATGATGGTGAGCCCTGTTTTTATAGCATGTAGTCTGGGAAAGAAAAACAGAATACATAAATATAAAATACACTAAAGATGATACTCTTTAAGGTTTTTGTTGATCCTGAAAAACACAATGTAAGGACTAGATGGGGTGCTGATTGGTAAATAATACATGCAAGTATTGAAGGTTGAATATGGAACAATTAAATGAAAGGTTATATATATTTAAAAAAATATTTTCCCCACGGGGAATTTAGAGATGTGCAGAATGAATGCAACACTGGGTTTATGTTTACATCTGCTAGCCAGTAGAGGCTGGTATCGGCACAGCGACGCTGGCATTTTGGAAAATGTTGGACTCAGCAAGTCAAGCAGCAGCATCTGAGCCCAGAAGATGTGGTTATCCTTCTCAGAAGAGGAGCGACCATAAAAAATATCTAAAACCAGAGTGAGTTTAGGTGAAGCCTACTACAGATGGACCCAAATAAAACATTTCACGTATCGGCAGCAAACCTGGCGTCCCAATGGCTGGAAACCTTGTTCCATTGTTGCAACGACAACCTCCACACACTAGATGTCACTTTGGTGTTTGAATTCCATATTCAAACTTGAAAGAGCAAGTCACCCCCAAATCAACTTTTTTGAGAGGGTGCTCGCTGCAGAACCACAAAGGTGGCGCTGCACCAGAGTCAGCCCCGCCCACTCACGCAAACAGCCTAGCCCACTGACTTCTTCTGTTTTTTTTTTATTTTATTTTATTGCAAACTAACCTGACCCACATGAATTACGGCTGTTACTACTTTACAAATGTTAATGCTATGTTCTATGCTCCAATTAAGCAAGATAAATATAACTTGCTACCTGACAAAGCCTGAATATATCCCGAAATGAAAAGGTTTCTTTTAGCGAATATGTCCATAGCCACTCCAACAGAACCAGCCTAGTTGAGCATTTAAGGAAAATTATTTAGTGGACTCTGGTAGTCTAGTGGCAACATTGTCACATTCAAATTTTGCTTTCCCCTCAGCTGATGTTGGTTCGACTCTCGGTGGGGTATGCAGCTATCTATTTAGCCAGCTGAAACATTTAATTTGTTTATAATTTAGTTGTAATGTTTATTTTCTGCAAAAATATTTATGTCTCTAAAAGTTCTTTGAATTTGGTGGTTCCTAAACAGCATTTTAGTTGAAACTCTGCTCACAAATGGACTCACACTGGCTAAATAAACAAATAAATAGAAAAACAAACACATTAGTCATTATATTGTAAACGGTATACCAATAAATGGTTAAAAACATAGTACTGGCAAGTGTAGCTATAAAGAAGAAAAAAGTTTGCGCCTGATAACAAGGTAGTGGCGTCACATGTAATTGTGCCATCCAGTGTGTTTTTGTAGATGGGATGTATGATTTTTCGGCGGTGTCTCAGTAGATGTCATTTCAGAAATAATTTGTCAGAAAATTCACAGAATATCCAGATTTGAGAACCAAGACCAGACCCGCTTCGGAGGAGAGGACCAAATTGAAGCTGAAATGGGAGGAAAATGTGTGAATGAGGCCAAAAATGGCTTTGGCGTGTTTCTTATGAGGAAATGACAATATAACATGGTAAAAAGTTTCAAAAGTTAGATTTTTAATTATATGGAACCTTTACAAAATCGGTTCAGTTAACCTCTCAACTCAGTCCTCAATCTTGCATTTTAGATGATATTAGCTATAACACCCTCTTTGGCTCCAGAATGCTATCAAGTCTGACAACTGGAAGGAATTGGACTGACTCTGATGGAATGGGCGGGGCTGACTCTGGTGCAGCTCCACCTTCTGGTGCAGCTCTTCCTTTGTGGTTCTGCAGCGAGCACCACTTGACTTTTTTCTTGGTGATAAACTATTTAAATGAGCGTCTAATCGTGCTGTAGACATGTTTAGTCAATAATTTGGCTCTTAAAGTATCTTCCTGGAGTTGTCTCCTTTCAGAAATGATGTATGATTTTTCAGAAATCCGTGAAAGTGATTGTCTCATCATGTACTGTGATATAATGTAAGCAATACGTCTTTTTTTGTGCTAAGCACGCCCCCTGTCCCACAGAGCTCTGTGCAATAGGAAACTGAGCACCAACGAGAACTAACCAATAGTGTTAGACTACCGCTTACCTGCTTTAAATTTAAGGAATACCTCGGCTGATCCAGAGTTGTTGAACTTTTCACAGACAAGTACGTTACTAAAATATAATTATAAGAGAACACAACATGACATGAGAATAATATTTCTAAAACAAAGTGCATGTACAAGTACATTTATAAACAAGAAACGTGAAAGAGAAATTATTTGTGTGATATGCTTGTCAGCCACTAGATGGTACCATCAAATAAGAAAAATACTCCAGAAAGAGACTTTAAGTGCATCTTAGTTAAAATTTAAACATTCTACCTAAAACTGACAATGTAGCTCCGTCTTAGGTAAAACCTCTGTACTGCATTTGAATTTAAATCTGCCATCGCTATTGGCTGAGAAGTACACTATGATGTTAGCTGGTACATTATGATGTCACAATGTCGTTGTGAGCCTGTGTGTGTGTGTGTGTGTGTGTGTGTGTGTGTGTGTATGTGTGTGTGTGTGTGTGTGTGTGTGTGTGTGTGTGTGTGTGTGTGTGTGTATGTGTGTGTGTGTGTGTGTGTGTGTGTGTGTGTGTGTGTGTATGTGTGTGTGTGTGTGTATGTGTGTGTGTGTATTTGCTAGCGGCTCAGCCCTCTCGGTCTGCTAGGCAGCTGCATTTGTTACATTTTTCAAACATGAAATGGGAGTGGAGTAAGACTCTGGTAGGGGTGACTTGCTCTTTAATACAATTATTTTCAAACAATAATACTACTAATAATAAAAATAATAAAATACTAAGCTAAATATGATTTTAATTCTAAATCATTGTGTGTGTGCATTTGCATAATCTAATATTTTTGAATTTAAAACTATATGGTTGAACTACAAAATAAAGTTGATTGGAAGGATCCTACAAAAACAGGTGAAGTAAAGAAATCCCCCAACTAGCATCTCAGATTCTCTTTGAAGGCTGTGTGTGTGTGTGTGTGTGTGTGTGTGTGTGTGTGTGTGTGTGTGTGTGTGTGTGTGTGTGTGTGTGTGTGTGTGTGTGTGTGTGTGTGTGTGTGTGTGTGTGTGTGTGTGTGTGTGTGTGTGAATAACCCATACTGGAGTTTCACTCAATTGTCCAGTGATGAATTGTCTCGGACAATCTTTAGATCAGAGAGACAGATGCTATATAGGAGATCTCTTCACCGTAATGTGATTCTTGGTGAGATTCTTTCATTTTACAGCAGCCTGTAGTTTTACAAACTCACCAAAGATTTATTTAAAACCACCACATTATATTTTGAGTCAACCTTATATGGTTAGATTTGATCAGGAACAATAGACTTAAGGCAACAGGGTGGTGCTGCTGTTAGCTCTGTTGTATTATGAAGGCTGCAGGTTCAACACCTGGCTGAAGCCTTCCTGCATCTTACCTTATTCTCTGCATGCATGTGAGGGTTTCCTGTTTCCTCCTACAGGTAAAAGCAATTGTGCGTATTGGGTAAATTGGCTACTCTAAAGTGTCCCTAAGTGTGACAGAGACGTGTAAACGATTGTGTGTCTTATTTGTCTTTATGTCTGACTGGAGTATCATCACAGGTGTCACCTGCCTCTCGCCCGACCAGCAGGAGAAAGATACCAGCTCTCCTGTACTGGAAGAAGCAGACACAGAATATGAATGAGTGCATATGTAAGATCTGTCTTGAGACATTTTTTAAGCATTATTCAGATTTACGTCGAAACACTTGGGTATAATAATTATAGTCCACAAGTTAATAATGTTAATTATAATAAGTGTGGTGAAAAAGTGCATAAAATAAATCCTCAGCCCATTTATATTGGCGTCCAGGAGGCATCCTAATCAGATGCCCGAGCCATCTCAACTGACTCCTCTCGATGTGGAGGAGCAGCAGGTCTACACTGAGCCCCTCCCGGATGACCAAGCTTCTCACCCTATCTTTAAGGGAGAGCCCAGAAACTCTTCAGAGAAAACTCTTTTCGGCCGCTTGTACTTGCGATCTCGTTCTTTCGGTCACTACCCAGAGCTCGTGACCATAGGTGAGGGTAGGAACGTAGATCGAACGGTAAATCGAGAGCTTTGCTTTCCGGCTTAGCTTTCTCTTCACAACGACAGATTGGTACAACACCCGCATCACTGCAGATGCAGCACCAATCTGCCTATCGATCTCACGCTCCATTTTTCCCTCACTCGTGAACAAGACCTCCGGATACTTAAACGGCTCCACTTGGGGCAAAACCTCTTCCCTGACCTAGAGAAGGCATTCTACCCTTTTCTCACTCAAGACCATGCTTTCTGATTTAGAGGAGCTGATTCTCATCCCAGCCGCCTCACACTTGGCTGCGAACCGCTCCAGAGAAAGCTGGAGATCACAGTCCAATGAAGCCAACAAGACCACATCATCTGCAAAGATCCCCTCAACACCTTGGCTGTGCCTAGAAATCCTGTCCATAAAAGTTATGAACAGAATCGGTGACAAAGGGCAGCCATTGCGAAGTCCAGTTCTCACCAGTAATGAGCCTGATACGTGCTTCTCCATCAGCTCCGCAAGGGACAGACACGCACGGAGTGACGGAAGCGTTTTGCTCTCATACTTCTCCGTCTCCTGGGGAGTGTTACAAAGCAATTGTCTGCCTGGACAACAGAGGGCGTAGCGCTGTTCTGTGGTATCCTGTCATGTATCCGGTCCAAGATAGTGTGTTTATATTGTGTTTTTTGTACATATAAGAGACTTTTTAACACTGACAAATGAGTCTCTCATTCTCCTCCACTTTTTCATGCGCTCGCCACCTCTAAACCCACGTTTCCTGTCATTTCCATCAACGCTTGCTGCGTATCTTTTCTCTCCTCCAGTCACGTGGGAATTAAACATTCATATTTTTAGAGTTTTTTCACGAGGCATTCTTCAAGCTTCTACGTGTCTGCTGCTAGTTATTCTCGACTCTCATGTTTTTGAGGGCGCAATGGCGTCGGTGGAGACGACAGTGGTGCCCTGACCAATCACAAGCTTGCGTTCTCCGTCTCGACAGAGATTTTTAGAAAAGAGAGCTCGACTCCGTCCATCCTTGCGGGGGCTCTTCAGCAGGCCCGCAAGGACGGATAATGGTGTTGCGTGTCTCCGCACTGACGCAGACGCAGGAGAAGCATGAATCAGGCTTTACTGCTGGCAATGCGGACCAAGCTCTGACACCGGTCATACAGGGACCTAACAGCCCTTATCAAAGGGCCTGGTACCCCGTACTCCCAGGGTACCCCCCGTGGACGCAGTCGAACGCCTTCTCCAAATCCACAAAACACATGTAGAATGGTTGGGTGAACTCCCACACACCCTCCAGGACCCCCCTAAGGGTATAGAGCTGGTCCAGCGTTCCACGGCCAGGACGAAAATCACCTTGTTCCTCCTGAATCTGAGGTTCAACAATCCGATGGACCCTCCTCTCCAGAACCCATGAATAGACCTTACCAGGGAGGCTCAGGAGTGTGAACCCCCTGTAGTTGGAACATATCATGCGGTCCCCCTTTTTAAATGGAGGGACCACTACCCTGGTCTGCCAATCCAGTGGAACTTCCCACGATGTCCACGCGATACTGCAAAGCTGCGTCAGCAACACAACCCTACAACATCCAGAGCCTTAAAGATGTCCGGCCGGCTCTCATCCACCCCCGGGACCTTGTCACTGAGGAGTTTTTTGACCACCTTAGTGACCTCAGCACAGAGATTGGAGCGTCCAACTCAAAGTTCCCAGACTCTGCTTCCTCATTGGAGGGCATGCCGGTGGGACTGAGGAGGTCTTCGAAGTATTCCATCCATTGATCCACAACGTCCCGTGTAGAGGTTAGCAACACCCCTTTTGTAAACAGTGTTGGTAGCGCACTGCTTTCCACTCCTGAGACGCCGGATGGTGGACCAGAATCTCCTTGAAGCCACACGGAAGTCTTGCTCCATGATCTCACCAAACTCCTCCCACACCCGGATATTTGCCTCTGCGATCACCCGAGCCACATTCAGTATCAGACCAACAAAACAGCACTTGTAAAGACACATGACCCAGATATCTCTGATTTGACGATACAAACATGCTTAAAAAGCTAAATAATCAAGGCTGAAAGGAAACACTTCAGCTAATGTTCAAGTAGACAATTTAGTTGAGTTTTTGTAATAATTATGCTAAAAATATAGCTTCTGCAGCTGTTTTTAAATGTTATTTCCATTTCTGGAAATCCTCTAAAGACCGCTTGTGTAGTTGTTGGTAACACATGGGGGGGGGGGGGGGGGGAGCTGACCCGAACTTTGGGAACCACTTGTCCCTAAAAAATGAAAATTTTGTTGTGGATTTAGAAATTTATGCCTCCAATTAAATGATTTTAAATTATGCTCAGAAGACCAAAAGGCATCAGTGAGGAGATCAATCTCTGCTCCTCAGAGCATTCTTGTTCTGATAGAATAGAATAGAATACTTTATTTGTCAATTCTTTGAATGTGCTTGCCATACAAGGAATTGAAATTACGTTTCACACTGTCCAATGCGTAGACATTTACATAAAGTGCAGATGCACAACAATAACAAAACAAAAAACATCCCTAACAATAAGATAATATTAAACAGGTAAATATCGCTAATAATATACAAAACATATAGCAGCAGGTGTGCAATTTCAATGCAGAGGTAGTTGTTTACAATCAGAAATGTTTACCCCATTATTGGTTCAACCACTATTTCCTTTTTGTTTGTTAGTGCAGCAAACGTCATTTCTCCCTAAAGATGTCGGGCTCTGTCATCCTGATTCCAGCTTGTATGACTTTGAAAGAAAATAAATAAATAGGAAAACTACAGGAAATGCTGTAGGATCTGCACTCTTGTGAAAACTTTGATTTGCTCATTTACATATCAAGGGACAGTAATGCCATCTACATCATGGATCAATAGTCACTAGCAAGTCTAAAGCTAAACATGCATAAAGGACTTTTTATCAGCAGATGGAAAGAAATTGTCTCATTTTTCACAAACACCCAGTACAATCTGTCAGTGTGCCCCAGGGCAGCTGTGGCTACATCGTAGCTCATCACCACCAGTGTATGAATGTGTGTGTGAATGGATGAATGATACACTGTAGTGTAAAACGCTTTGGAGTCCTTACTCTGAGAGGCGCTATACAAGTGCAGGTCATTTATCATTTATCATTGTTAAACCTGTTACGTTTACACTTAATGCTACAAAGCCTGATTCTACACTGAGTCCATGTAGTGATCTCTGTGCGCATTCAAAGCCAAAGCATAAACCCTGTGACTTGATTAACTATAGTAATTGTAAGTCCGAGTTAAAATTGCCCCATTTCCTGCTCAAGAGTGAAGACTGCTGAAGGTGTAAACATCGTTTTCCTTTAATTTAAAAAAATGTAAATTTTATTGATCAGTCCTGAAGTACTGTCTCTGTTTTGTGTGTAGATTTGATGCCGGGACATGTTCTACTGTGTTTTGCTATAAATGAAAATGAAAATATGGATTCTGCCTGTGAGTTTTATTTGAATAACAGCTCATGTTGATGCATCGAGCCTCATTAAAAGTCAGATGTCTGTTTTCACTGGGTAATACAACTTATTTTTATGGCTTTTATAGAGCAAAGTGATTAAAAAAACCACCTGCTGTTTAATATTAACTCATACACCCCCTTGGCTAGTTTGGAACAATGAAATTTCATTTATGAATTTGTAAATAAAGTTTAAAGTTAATTAATTCTTTTGAACGGTCAGTCAGGATGATATCACTCACTAAGCTTGACAACTTTTAGAAACCAAAATGATGAAAACTATTCTTTAGTTTTGTCAACAATTTCTGTAGCTCTGGAAAAGTTTTTGTACCCTACACCCAATCTATTTTTTACCTTTTTTGTCTCTAAAATATTTCAAATCAGCAAAAAAAATAAATAAATAAAATAAAAAAATAAAAGGTTGTACATTTAAATAAAACATAAATGCAAAATAAGTCCTTAAAATTTGAAATTAAGTTTACAGAATTTTGACAAATGCACACCCTAGTACTTTTAAGAGTCCACAATGTCGATGTATATGTTCCTGGGATGTTCACCTTCACTGGTACCAAACAGAGGGCCTGTGTCGGCCGTAATCCACCATCAGCTCCTTGGTTTTCTCTTTGTGACATCATGATGGGGACATAATGTAAAGAAAAGTGGAACAAATGTCCTCCATAATGATGTGAGAGACTCATTACCAATTAATAATTGGATGCAGCTGTTGCCTCTTATTAAAACATCTATATTTTGAAATGTTTTTCTTTATTATATTAGTTGATTCAAGATAATTTATAGTCATTTCACAGGTGTACAATAAAACTGACTTTGTGCTCTCTCACTTAAGGAGGTAGTAAAAAATAAGTAAAACAAAATAACAAGGCACTTGCCCTCTCTCTCTCTCTCTCTCTCTCTCTCTCTCTCTCTCTCTCTCTCTCTCTCTCTCACTCACACACACACACACACACACACGCACGCACGCACGCACGCACGCACGCACGCACGCACGCACGCACGCACACACACACACACACACACACACACAGCTAGTTTAAGGTGAAAAAGTCTAATGTAATGTAGCAATTAATACATGTTAATTATGACCAATAAGATGAGATTTTCCATAAAGATGTGAAATATGAATCTGATTGATCTTTGAATGTTTAATCAGAAGATTCTAGGGTTCTTTGCTTATTCAGGGACCACAAACACACTTCGTATTAATTCAGACGGAGTGAGAATATAGTTTATAAAAGGAATTTAATTCTTTTAACTAAGCTAATAGTTTATACAAGACAAGATATGAATAATGAGATCTGGTGTGGTGAATGTGAGATGTTGGATATTGTAGCAACCGTTCTTTGTATCTGAGAGAAATTGTGAAATCTGGGTGTAAAAGAATTTGTTGTTTGTTATAAACTAGAGAGTTGTTTATTTATGAACCTCATCAGACACCAGTTTGCAGGCTTACAATACCCTTGTATGAGTTGCTCCCAGTGGTCCGGAGGGTTGCGGTCAGAGTGGTGAGGTCACCGGACGTCGAAACCACGATATTTAGAGATTAGTAGCTTCCTCTGACTTCAGCTTCCCCGGCCATGAGATGCAACCCGGGGTCTGCAGACTAGGTGTCTCAGGTGTGAAGTAGCTCTGAAAAGAGCTGTTGTGTCTGTAATCACTTGCAGCGTTGCAGAAATGTTTTGACTTAAGGTCAAAGAAAGAGGCTTCTTTCCCGATTTGGCCGAATCGGGATCAGCTGGAAACTGAATTAATCGGGAAGTAAATCCTGTTTTAATAAACTTCTTTGTTATGATTTCTGGCCAAGTTTGGCAAATCAGAGTTTGACATGTAAACAATGATTAACTTGTTAAATCAAACACATAGCGATCTGTGATATAAATGGATCATTGTAAGAACAATATTCGTTTTAAATTCATTGATTTAAGCACAAATTATTCAAACATTTCATTTAAACATCTTGTTCATTAATCACATATGATTGTTGTAAGCTTTTGAGCTGTAAAAGTCGTGGAGTCTTCACTTATTCAGAGTGAAGAATGTTGACGTCTGGCATTCATGCAGAGAGTGTAGGACCTTGGGAGAGAATGTTTGTTTGAATGTTTTATCTTCATGGAATGTAAATGATAAATGACCCGCACTTGTATAGCGCCTCTCAGAGTAAGGACTCCAAAGCGCTTTACACTACAGTGTATCATTCATCCATTCACACACACATTCACACACTGATGGTGATGAGCTATGATGTAGCCACAGCCGCCCTGGGGCTCACTGACAGAGGCGAGGCTGCCGAGCACAGGCGCCACTGGTCCCTCCGACCACCACCAGCGCGTAAACAAATGTGGAACAGAACCTTCTGGTTCTGGAAGGCCACATAGAAAGTGGATTTATGCTGTAGATGAAAGGTTATTATGCTGATCAATATATAGGTGAAAATTGACCCTTCTGAATGTTACAACTCCCCCCCTTTCCAAGGTCACGGAGTCATGGCAGAAGACCACGAGGCGTTGGACAATCTCAAGCCCCCTTCAGACAGGTCATGAAAAACGGAAATGTTCCGGACTCTGTCCGTAAGACCTTTGTGTCTGAATACAAACATCCGGATAACGTGTTCCGTAATTAACTCATTCACTGCCAATGACGACTAAAGTCGTCATTTGCATTTTTTTACTGTTTGAGCATCGGAACGAGCCCCCGCGCTGATAGAACAAACATCTCAGCCCTGAAGCCGATCTTCATCCGCATACGTCACAGATCACATGATCAGGAAGCAGACCATCCATGTGTTTGGAGATCGTTTTGGGCCGTTCCTGTAAAAAGAGTGAGGCGCGAACCGGAAAAGCGTCTGCCGATCACAATTCGACAACGAATTATGAAAGAACGGAAAACGCTCAAAACACACGGCTTCTTCCTGATGTAAGAGGTGAGTCTCCTCTTTGTTTAGGTTGTTTTGGCATCGACATCATGCTAGCGCGCAACGTTCTGTGACTCTTAAAAAAACTGTAAAAACGGTGAGAAACGCTGGCAGCGAAGGCCGTTAGCGATCAGGAAATGGCTGGCAGTGGATGAGTTAAACTGGACGACGCCCCTAGTAACAGGTCCGGACTTGTCATGGACAAGGTGGCTGCTTCAGACTGGTGAGGTCTAGTTCCGGACAGGGAGGAGGGGGAGGAGGTGGGGACCGGGGGACGCTGTGCGCACCTAGATAGCTCACTCCTGTAGCATGCAGCGAACCATGGTAGCTCGCCTCCTACAGTACCGTCTCCTAGACGCGCGACGGAGCGCATCACACCGCTTCCGTGATTCCTTTAACCATTGAGCTTCATCATCCAGGTAACCTATGCGTCTTCGTGTGCGCAGAAAACATAAGTCCAATCAGTGAGAGGAATCCTATCTCTTCGTCTGCCATGTTTGACTGAATGGCTTTGTTTGGGTAAATGACGCAAGTACGCCCGCCACACTATGTGTCTCTCCCCCCCCCCCCCCCCCCCCCCCAGACATCTGGAACTTTTCCCTGATGTGTGAAGGCAGCCGAAAGGACAAGTTCTGGTACAAAGGTGGTGTGTCTGAAAACACAGTTCCGGTTAAAAACCGGACTGAATTGTCCACACATATTCCAGAATGTCAATCTGAAAAGGGTTTTAGAGGCCCTGAGAACTCAGCAGAGGAAGACAGAGTAAGTTCCCAGGCACTGAAGCATC